AAAAAAAAAAAAAAAAAAATACTCCGTCTGTTCCTCTGCGATGAATTGAATGAGCATCGAGTAGCAAGAACAAAAAGACTGAGCGAAAGAGACAACATGGACTCTGAAGAAAAAGAAAGCTGTACTCACCAGATGAATCTTCCATGGAAACACTGAGAAGAAAGCTCGTCTGAAGTTCGGCGGAGGAAATAGGAAACAAAAGAGCAACGGAGAGAAGACAAATGGAACGGGTTTCGCTTTGGTCTAAAGTGGAGATGCCATTATGGGTTTCTTTGACAACAGAGCAGCTCTGCTCACCTATGATCCTAAATGCTTATGCTTTAAATATCTTAACTTTAATAAATAAATATATATACACATAAATTTTGTATTTTTTTTTTATATATAATTAATATTTTATTTCAAATATATTTTTATTTATATTAGAACTATATTTAAAAAATATGAATGAAATTTTAAAAGTAGCATTAACTGACGTTTACTTTTTTATAAACAAATATTATTATTGTCAGTCGTCTATCGACACCTTATAAATTATTTAAAGAAAAGCACAACAGTTAAAAAGATGATGACTTTTTTCAATTAAGCTTCTATTTGCACGGGCATCTAAGAGATGTCAATCTCGCGGGGACTTTGCCTCGGTGAATATTCCTGTATTACCCCCTTATTGGTCCAGAGGGATAGAGGAGGCTAGGTTAGCCGAAAGATGGTTATCGGTTCAAAGATGCAAGGTGCTCCTGTTTTTTCATGGTAAGAAAGGGCAGAGAAAATACCTCGAGTCAAGTTCAAGTACCAAGTGCTACGACGTTGAAGTAATCCATGTCATACTCCCAAAAAAAACTCGAACTACCTTTAACGTACCTGACAAGACAACGATCCTCCTTCTGGGTGGAGAGACAATGATGAGAAAAGGTAATGAATTTTGTGTCAATCGACAAATTTTTAAAAAGTAACAATGAAATATCACTCCGCGAATACTTGTTGACGGTTTTCAACGACCAACACAAATTCGAGCAACACTTTGGTATATTCCCGAAAAAAGGTCGAGGTAAGTAGCGTCGGTGACTTTAATGCAAGAATAACTTTTAAATTTTACCATTTTGCCCTCCATGTTATGTTAGAGATGTAAATGAAGATCAAAGAGGCCAAAAGCGTCTGATTATGAGAATTTACAAGCCACAAAACAGATTGTATAATACTTCCATTACAGAAGTGAACAAGAGAGCAAGTAGCTCAGAAGAAAAGGCTGTACTTTTTAAGGCAAAGTCCTAATTTTCATCCAACATTACTCACCATCCATTCGACGTCGCGTCGAGCATTGCCCTCGAGCGCCATTGAATCTCCATGACTAAAAACTGGTCTCGGTCTCTTCATTCCGGTGGTAGTTGATCCTACTCCGATCGGGGAAACCGGGCTTCCAGCTGATGTCAGGCAGCTATCCATCGAGCAATCGCCTACTCGAGGCATAACCGTAGGAGCCTTTGGATTTTCTAGAGCAGCAGCAAGTTCTGAAAAGGGAAGCACTTTTTGAGTCTCCAATGGTGCTATGTCTTTAGACTCATTGGCTACTTTCATTGCAAGTTCAGAGAGCTCTTCTCGTGCAGCTTCGAGTCCAGCAGATGCTGCAGCCTGATCGCTCAATGCTCGACACGCCCGCTCGAGTATCGACTGCAAGTATTTTCCTTGTGCTTCAATGCGAAGTTGAAGTCGACGCTGCACCTGCGCTTAAAGTAAAAGAAGCATGGACTTGAAAATGGAAAACAGTGAGTTTTCTCAAGATTTATAGCAATAGATTCTGTGAGATTCCACGTCGATTGGGAAGGAGAACGAAACATTCTTTATAAGAGTGTGGAAACCTCTCCCTAACGGACACGTTTTAAAAACTTTGAGGGAAAACCCGAAAGGGAAAGCCTAAAGAAGACAATATCTGCTAGCGGTGGGCTTGGACTGTTACAAATTGTATCAATGCCAGACACCGAGCAATGTGCCAGCGAGGAGGTTGTTCCCCGAAGGGGTTAGACACGGGTGGTGTGCCAGCAAGGAAACTGGGGCCCCGAAGGAGGGTGGAGTTGGTGGGGGTCCCACATTGATTGAAGAAAGGAACAAGTGCCAGTGAGGACGTGGGCCTTGAAGGGGGTGGATTGTGAAACTCCACATCGGTTGGGGAGGAGAACGAAACACCATTTATAAGAGTGTGAAAACCTCTCCCTATCAGACGCGTTTTAAAAACCTTGAGGAGAAGCCCGAAAGAGAAAGCCCAAAGAGGACAATATCTGCTAGCAGTGGGCCTGAGGTGTTTCAAATGGTATCAAAGTCAGACATTGAGCGATGTGCCAGTGAGGAGGTTGTTCCCCGAAGGGGGATAGACACGGGCGGTGTAACAACAAGGACGCTGGGGCCCCAAAGGAGGGTGGAGTTGGCGGGGATCCCACATCGATTGAAGAAAGGAACAAGTGCCAGCGAGGACGTTGGACCCTGAAGGGGGGTGGATTGTGAGATCCCACATCGGTTGGGAAAGAGAACGAAACACCCTTTAGAAGGGTGTGAAAGTCTCTCCCTAGCAAACACGTTTTAAAAACCTTGAGGGGAAGCCTGAGAGAGAAAGCCCAAGGAGGACAATATCTACTAGTGGTGGGTCTAGGCCGTTACAAATTCAAGTTCCTTCAGGAAGAACAAACGAACGACTAACCTCGAGCTGCTCGTGCAGCCTTCTTTGAACCTCCATTTGTGCTCGTAACGCCTCCGTGACTTGGAAACTACTGTTCGAAAAACAAAACTACTCAATGCAAGACATATATAGAGCATGGAAAACCATTACATAAAAGGAAAAAGTCGAGCATACTCGTTCAAATCTCGAGCTATTATTTTCGATGATGGCGATGATGACGAACTTGTTTCTTGACTTTCTGCAATGCAAGAAGCTGAAAGGCCATATCTATGAGTCGTTTAAGCTTCACACACAAACGATATACAGCAAAAAACTGAAACCGGTGGTTCGGGTAGGTCGATGTATAATTCTCTAGATAAAAATGAGTAAGCATGCCCCACAGTTTGAACTATTTGCTACTTCATTCCATACAAAACAAGAAAAGGAAACTGCCAAGTCCCAACTGTTTTGAAGAGGAAGTTCGTACCATCCTTCGAGTTCTCCGTCGATTCCTTGAACGATTGCTTCCCGAGCCGATATTTCTGCTAGTACAAGGCATCAAGAAAACATACATTGTCGAACAAACAATAGAACAAGACAAGATGAGTGTCGGGCTCGGCCCGGTCGGTACAACGGCGATATGAACAAACCTGGAGGTGTGATTTTAAGTGATAAAGGGTGAGGCCTTTTACTCCCATTGTTCTCATAATTGTTTTTGGGGTTGCCTCTGAAAAGTGTAGAGAAACCAATATCAGCATTTTGACCATTAGGAACAAATCAAATAAGAGAAAGTATCATACAACTCTATAGAAAGAGCAACCAAGACGACACCATGGCTCCGAACTCGACGAGTTTACTCTCTAGCACGTATTAAAACATAATAATCGAACAAGAAACCGATACAAATCGTTCTATTCAGCAAGCAATCATTTCTTAGTGCTAAAGCTTGCATCTTAGCCATATAGAATGGTTATATAACCGAACCCGTTTGGGCGTTCCTACACACCTGGCATCCTGCAAAAAAAGGCCCCTAACTCAAGTGATATTACTCCCGCATCTTTTTCCAGTCCAGCCATGAGCGGAAGTGTTTTCATATTGGGTTTCAATCCTTATTCGCTCACCTGCCTCGATTTGGTACCGCTCTCGCGGCCCTCACCGACCTGATTCCATCTTCCACCCCGATATATGGCAAACTCTCCGTGTTGGGATACTCCCGGGCCGGAAACGTTTTTCTTTTCATCTAGGTGCACACTTCTTTTCCATGCCCAACACTTTTAAGGGAGCAATGAGAAACCTAACTTAACTCAGCTTGTCTTAAATGAAAGAAACTTCAAGGACACCAAATCAATAGACATGAATCTAGTTGTAGGCCACATCTCCCTCAAGGACACTCTACCCTAAAAAAAAGGACGATACTTGCTTGCATACCTGTCGGTAGGACGTCGAACTAACTCGTCGACATGGTCTATTTCTATTGCATTTAATAGAAAAGTGGATCGTAGTGAAACCAATATGAACAAAAACCGCTACACTACTCTTTTTACGAGTTTAATAGCAAATTCAATCATTTCTACCGTTCATGATCGAACCGTTACAAAGGTTGAAATTTAACCAATAAGAGCACCGACCCGCATGAGCCAAATGTCACAATATGCAATATGATTGTGACCCGAGTAAGTCATCTAGGACGATGACTAAGTTAAGTGGGGGAGAATGTCACAACCATACTATGAAGAGAGTAGGTTGTGAGCCTCACCCCATGACAAGTAAAGTGGCGTTTCTCAAGAGACGCCCATCCGGCCATATGCGGGCCAATATAGAAGAGTGCATGATGTGATCGAGGAGGACGATGCATGTCAACTTCTCCCTACCCAAGGTTATATAATGTAAGCCGTTGTTATTTCTCTCTTGCTTGCTTATATAACGTCTCTTTAAAAAATCTCTCTTTGGAAATTCTCTCTCTGCCCTCGTTCTCTAAAACCTTCCCTTAAAACCGAGGCCAGAGGCTCGAGCATACGTTGCTTGGCCGTAGGCGACACAAGAACGAATTGGCTTAGCTCACTTATCGTTGGAAAGTGAGTGCCGCACAATCGCAAGTCCGCTACCATTAAAAGTGCGATTGTGACACCAAGTACCTTACCCTCTAAAGGATAGATATAAGAACACCTCCACCCACTTCAAGCCAGCATTAAGTGACACAACCATTAAAACAGAGCCCAAATTCCAGAGAGAAGCAATTAGAAAGCAAACAAAAAAAAAAGGGAAAAAAGCTGTACTCACTGTCGGAGCCGCCGAGCTGAGTGACGGCGTCGACGAATCGCTCATGGAGCTCCGCCGTCCATCGGAGGCGTGGCTTGGGATCCGACGTGAGAACCAAACAAGCATCTCCAGGAAGATTCGTTCCATCTAGAGAACCCTGAAACTTTCCGCCGCCGCCGCCGTCCATCGGCAGCGCCGGAATGACAGAGTACATTCCGCCGGTTCCTGTGAAAACCCAGAGAGCATTTTTGCTCCGGCGAGTGAAACAAAAAAAAAAAAAAAAAACGAAAATGTGAGAGCCAAAAAATCCACTCCATAAAATTAAAACGACCCTTTTGGGTCGGAGCTCCGAAAATGGGTCGAGCAATCAAGAAAAGAAATATATATATAAAATGAATTTAAAAGAGAGAGAAACAAGACAGCGATGTTTGTGCGCAGTCTCTGTCCCAAGTTTTTGTTTTCTTTTTCTGTGTGTTCTGTCTTTGTCAGTATGAGTCTGTGCAAGCGTGGGTAGAAGGCTAAATCAGAAAGGCAACCTGCTGCCATGTGATTGATTTTAGACCTTCTTTTTTTTTCTTTGAAAATTCTTATAAAATCTTTTAACCAAAAAAAAAGTGAATTTCAAGAGGAAGAACTTGATTTTGCTGACCAAAAAAATACCCTCTTTTCTCTCTCTAGAGCTTGAATCCATGGCGTCCATGGAATCTTTTTTGCTTTTTTAACCCAAAAAATGATAAAGCTTTTAGAAATGGTTAGATTAATGTTTCAATTTTGTTTTACTGAGAGTGGACACATGAGAATTTGGAGCTTTATGCCGCCATTAATGGAGCAACAACAACCTCCGAATTCATGGTTTGTTAGTTACATAGTGTGAGTGGTTGTTACTCTCTCTTTCGAAAATTTCTCTCTACCATCGTTTTCTAAGATCTTTTTTTTAAACCGAGGCCAGAGGTTCGAGTATACGTGGTTTGGCCGTAAGCAACGTAAGAACGAATTAGCTTAGCTCACTGTTATTAGAAAGTAAGTGTCACACAATCGTAAATCCGCTTCCATCGAGAGTGCGATTGTGACAAGAGTAGTGTGAGATTTCTATAAGAAATGTTTTATTCTCCTCTCCGATCGATGTCAGATTTTACAATTCATCTTCTTATGAGCTAATGTTCTTGATGCACATAGCTTAGTGCCTGACTTTCATATAATTTATAACTATAAGTTTATTTACTAAATATTGTCTGTTTTGACGGGTTAGTATTTTTAATTTTGTTTTATATTTATGGATAAGAGAGACAGAGATAGTCCAAAAAGATGGGAGGCCAGCCAAAGCTGGGCGGCCAGGCTGGACCCCTCCATAAAACGAGCTGGTGGTTTATTTATTTATTTATTTTGGAATGTCAAATTGTAAATTTAGATTTTGTCCCCCATTTTTTCGTGACGTCATCCGTTCAAGGTATGTTTTGGGTGGGGTAAAAAAGTCATTTTGACGACTGTTTTTTAAAAAATCTAATAAAAATTAAATAGAAGTTTTTATTAGTTATAATGTTGGCTGGTCGGTGGAGACGAGGAGAGATATTTGAGGCGTGATTGGATTCGTGGATAACCCACTCATAACCGGGATAGCCAATTCCCTGACCATTCATGTAACTTCTTCCCTTTTCTTCTTGCGACAAAATGTGAAGTTGTTTGGCTTATCCAGTGTTTGGTTATTTTTATTTATGACTATCCAAACAGAATTTGCTCTGTTTATTATTATTTTATTTATGACCAATAGAAAATTAACAATTTTTTTAAAATATTTATATTTTCCTTTATTGTCCTTCCATTAGGGTTTTGATTCTTTGGCTCGATGCTAAATGAGTGGTACATGAATGTACGGATGCCACATCTGAATGAGAACGATTCTAACTAATAAAAGCTTAAATGAACTGAAAGTTACTGTGTATCATTAGAACCGCTCTCATTCAGATGTGGTCTCCATACAGACTGTACTCTAAATAGACGACTAATAAGCAAAACACAACATCAACAATTCTCCTTCCGAACAAATGATCTGTGAGATATCGTGAGATCCCACATCAGTCTTTCATAAGAGAGACGCGTTTTAAAATCGTGAGGCTGACGATGATACGATTATAGAACGAGATGCATATTATATACACGACTTCATTTGAAAGTATCCATATATATATTTTGAAAAGTACGATTTTACCCTTCATATTTCATAAATGTATCAGAACCATTATCGATTATACTTTTTATGGAAAATAGGTCATATAATGAGTGTGGTAGTCACTTGAAACGTTAAGACACGTTCGAGTTTCAATTTTTATTATAGGTCACTGCCATATTATTCAAGTCCCGACATTTTTATGAAATTTTATTTTAAATGTTATTTAAAAGTATTTATTAAATGTAAAAATTAATATTGTATATATATTTTTTAAATACAAGAGTTTACACATTTTTATTTATTATCTTATACATACAAGCCACATTATTAACTGTAATAAAGGACTCGTTAATATTTAAATAAAAATTGAGATTAAACTAAAAGACGAAAATTATAATTATATAAGAAACTGGGCTAAGATAGTAATTTCATAATTCTAACGGGGTAAATTTAATTTGGCGCGAGGGTTTATGCCCGATCCCTCCAGAACCCTCAATTCAGCGAGAATAGCAATCCCACTCTCTCAGAGCTTGACATCCTGGTCATGGCGTCACTGGCGCTCTCTTTCAGAAAGCTTTCTTTGTTCTTTTGTACTACCAGAGGTATTCTCTCTCTATTTCCATGCATTCTGCAGTTTCGTCTCCAATACTTGATTTTCCTTTGCAGTGATTTCATGTCAGGAATCGTGCGCTGTTCTATCTCGATCATTTTTTTCTACTCACATTGTGGGCGAGGAGCCGATTCTTGTAAGTATTAACTGGTTTTATCTCGTTTTCGGATTGGTTCTTGTCTATTGCCTCACATTTCGCATTTTGGAGTTATGGATTTCGATGATTAATTCTCATCAGGTTCGTGATTTCATACATTCCGCATTATATGATGCAAATCATGGATACTTCGCTCAGCGGTCACGGTCGGTTGGAGTTATGGAACGCAGTATTAAGTTCAATCAGCTCGAAGGTACGCCATCGTTTCAAATTTTCATAGTTCGGGTGTTCACGAGCATTTAGGAATGAATTATTGGGATTGATGAGCGTTCCAAAGTTGTTTTATCAGTGTTTTGCTGCAATAGCTAGCAAACTGTGGCCGGGAGACGGGCTTAAGAGTAATTATATTTCCGATCAATTGATTTATGTCGTTTAATTTGAACTTTGAAGGACGTGGTGTGTGTCTGTGTTATTAAACTTTACGTCTATATCACAAGCAAATTTTTATCTGACTTTAGTTAACCATGCGGCCCTTTTTGTTCTCTACGAAGAAATGTCGTTCTATAATCGATGAAAGTCGTCCTCTGAAGGTCAAAAGTATTTGAGCATAGATATATGGAATTGAATATTTATCGTAGAGAAATGACAAATAATGGCAGCTGGGATTGAGTTGCTTGCAGTAGCGCAAATAAAGGGTCTGAAAACCTCGTGCATGACATTGTACATTATTTTCTTCCTTTTCAATTTTTTTTTTCAGCCTTGAAACTGATTTTAGTAATACTATGATCTATCTGTTGTATTGATCTTATGTTTTGGAAGTTACCCTTCTCTGAGACTTCCATTTCGAGTTTTTTGACTAATTTATGCTGACTTTGTCCTTTCCCAAAATTTTTCTAATACGTACTTTTCTGCTAAATCTATTGTTTTCCAGCAATTGGAAGCTTAATTCTGCTTCTCTTTTCAATGCTTTGTATCATACTTTGGTCAACTCACCATGCTAATTTCTTAAGAAGCATAATGCAGTACTAATATCGATGCTGTGATTTTTGCCTCATGTACTGAAACGTGTGCTTGATTTAGGCAGGAAAGCTTATATGAGATACTTGGATAAAATTTACAAGCAGAGTGACTCATCATGGTTTACTCCAGTGGAGCTTTTTAAGGCAATTGGTTCTCTCTCTCTCTCTTGCATGCTCACTCACATATGTGCAGATTCATGCGTGCAATCTGAATGTCTGTTGTTTGGTTGTCATGCTTGAGAAGGAATTATCATTTTTTTTTTGAAGGATTTTGGGATAGCCGTCTAACTAAATCTTGTTGTAGATTTTCTTATTTCTTTTGTCCAAGTTTTTGAAGAGTTTCTTTATGTATACTCTCTCTCGTTCACTCTCACTCTCTAGGAATTTATCCACTAGGCTAATAATTCAACTTGGCCATCTGTATTGCAACGTTTAAAAATGAAAAAAAAAAAAAAACCTTTTTATATCACGTTTTTTGAAGGAAGGGTAGGAATGTTAGATGCTAGTGCACATGTGCACGATGCAGGGTATGAATGCGAGAGTATTTCTTTTTAAAATAAGTAAATTAAAAAAAGAAAAAATTACGAATGTGAATTTTTTCCTTCATATTCTATTGCTAGGTATTACTTTTTGCTCTCAATTCATGATTCTTTGTTAAATTCTTCATGGGGCGTCATATGTAGTATTAGCATTAATTTGGACAGCAATATTTCCCTTTTCTTCTTTTTAGAATATATTATCACATATGGGGGTGGGGATTGAACCTATGAACTTTTAAAGGGGAGTAACGTTGAGTTATGCTCATGTTATAATAAGATATTTTTTCCAAGGAGACATTGGGTCTGCTATCGAGTATTCTCTCCTTGTTCTATAGATTGTACCTTTGTGTCCTTTAGTTCTAAGGAGTTCTCCTCAATGTAATTTTAAAAAAATGGTTTTAAACTTGCATGAAAAAAGTATACCCATGAATTTTCTTTGTTAATTTTTTAATCGACCTTGGTGAGAGTAGAATAAAAAATTTCCTTTCTCAACATTTATGTAATCTAGCTAATTTGATAGTAATTTTGTGGCTACATCATTCACGTTTGCTTTTGTTGGTCACTTTTGTCTGTCAGCTTTCATCGTCTTTGATTCTGAAATTTTGTTTCCTTGTAGCCTTGGTATGCCCATGGGATTGCCGAAGCAATCATGCGCACTGCTAATCTTTCTGTTCCTCTAAAAGTAAGATTTCTATCTTTCTTGATCTTTAACTGTAAGTTCATAGCCACTCGGGATCTTTTTGCTGTAGCATTTTTCTTTTCACGTAGAAGGTGTATGCAATTTGACAAGTTCCCTGGCTGCTAAATCTAAACATCTCTGTTATTGTGTCATACTATTTTATCTTCGCTAAGATGCCTTCCCATCTTCTGTTTGTCTTGATTGCTAAATAACTAGTACTTTTGTGGTAGCCGGTTGAGATGTCCTGTCCCACACAATAAAGCTCAAAGATTTCTGTACCGTAGGAAATCAAATTATTGACAATCATTGACATACAGCCATAATGTGACCATAGTTAAAAGTTGAGATTTAGTGAATTTTTACTCTAAGAGCTCCAATCAGGAAGTCTCTTTATTTGATAAGAATCACCACTAGTGTTTTTTAGAGATATGTTTTTCCTCGTCAGCAGATGTGTGAGCATCGTATTAGATATGTGGTTATAACTTATGAGCCATTACTGAATTTAAGAACTCGGTATTTTTAGTCAAGCTATATGGAATCTCCCCTGCCTGGTGCTTCAACACTATGCTATAGTTTTTTTGGGTTAGAAGCAAAAACTTTGTATTAGTGGCAGGGACGTAGAGTTGAGGACAAGGACATGAAATGTCTCCTATCTGAAGTCCTTTGGTTTACAACACGCCCCCCCCCTCCCCATTGGAATTAATACAAATCAAGAAGCCAAAAAATGAACAAAATCCGGAAGTTTAAAAGTATCTCTATATTTGTCTTCACAAGGTTGTTCTGTTCCATTAATCCAAATATTCCACGACGTCATTGCAAGCAGTCAAACAAATTATTAGTTATAGCCTTCTTTTGAAATAGGAGCCTTCAAGATGTTGAACAAGTTATATGTTTCGATTCTCTAGTCATGTTATGCCTACTTGATTGTGTGTATGTGTGTGTGTGTGTGTTTTTTTGTGTCCACAGATATATGAAATTGGTGGCGGATCAGGAACTTGTGCAAAGGGGATAATGGATTACATTATGTTGAATGCACCTACAAGAGTTTACAACAATATGACTTATACGTATGTGCTTTTGCAGCGTTTTTTTCTCTACCATAGCTGGGATATCCTTATAGTTTCTAGGCTCAATTACTTTATGGCATGGCACATTCATGCCATGTGCTCTCAATATAGCCAATGAACTACCTTCAACAGTTTTCTTTACATCAATACAGAGGCGCACATTTTAAAGAGAGATCTTAGACTTCTATAGCTTTCCTAAAAATCCTCCACCTCATGTATGTTATCATATATTTCATAATGCAATTTTCTTAAAAAACATATTATATTAACCTTATTTATTTATTTTTATAGGAAACAGTATGTTGGAACTATTTTTAAATATACCTTAATGAATACTTAGACTAGTGAGTCAATTATTAGGATATCAAAAAGAAAAAACACAAAGACAAAAGTCATTTTGTTTTCTATTTGCATCCTAAAAATATGTAAGCTAGAATAGTTTTTAATATCTTCTATTCTTGAATTATTAATAGTAATTGTATCTTTTGTATTAAGTTATTGATTAAAATACCATTTTGGTCTCGGTACTTTGGGACTTATTCTATTTTAGTCTTTGTACTTTCAAATGTCCAAATTTAATCCTTGTACTTTCAATAAGTTTTAAAAATAACCATATTGTTAGTTTGTTAAAATATCATTTTGGTCTCTTCTATGTACTTTCAAATGTCCCGATTTAGTCCTTGTACTTTCAATAACCCCGCCCCCCGCCCCGAAAGACCTTTGTAAATTTTGAGAACATATGCACATAGTATCTATTCTACATAAAAAAAAAATTACTATAGTTATTTAACCAATTTCGCTAAAAATTAACATCAAAAGTGTAAATGTATGATTTAAGGTACATGCAAGAAAAAATTCTCAATTTCCCATTTCCCCATGTTTCAATTTTCTGTCCTCATGTCTTACGTGATAATTACATATATAACTGTAGCTCAGTGGAAATAAGTCCCTCATTAGCGGAGATACAAAGACAAACTGTTGGAGAGGTTCGCAGTCACCAATCAAAATTCAGCGTAGAATGTCGTGATGCTGTTGACTTAAGTGGATGGGGTATGTTTTCGTACCTTTCCCTAAACTATTCCTTTCAAGTGCTGTCAATCAGTTGCATACTTTTGTCTTGGGCGGTGTGTGGATGGATGGATGGGTGGGGGGTAGCATCAAGTTTGAAGAGTTATATGGATGAATGAATGGGTGAAAGTTCTCACATGGTGTCTAAGCAATTATTTCTTTTGTGCCGGAGAGACCACCCAGTTGTGGGGGATGAGAAAAGAGAACAGATTCCAATGTAGATACAAGTGTTTAAACTGTGTTCTTCGTTTTTCCTCGTACCCAGCAGCTGACTATCTATAATGGGTAGTGGGTTGTTACTTTTTGTTTCTCCTTTATTTAAATATGTCCTCTGCGTTTATGATTCTACAATATAGTTTTAATTAACCATTGCCTTCCTCCTATCACAGGAGAAGTGAAGGAGCAGCCATGTTGGGTAATTATGCTTGAGGTATATCTCGTCTTTAGCTCTCGTATATCTTCACAAAGTTTACATTCTTTCAAAAATTTGAACAAGAAAAAGGTCATAGATTCCTTTTCCACATTTATGTGTATTTCAGGGACCACCTCACCCCCCATATTTCCGTTGAATAAATGTTGATCGATATATTCACTTTTTGCTTCTTAAAATTAGCACTAATCGATCTTGCAAATGAGCATGTAAAGGAGGAGGTCGAACATGAAAAACTGAATGCACGCTTGATTATAAAATTAGGGATAAAGAGTTAAAGATCAACTACTTGTGGAAAATTTGAAATTGCTGATCCTTTAATTGGAAGAGTTTGATTACATATCTATAGAAGATGGGCGCAGGGATTGAGTTGCTTTTGTTGATATAGTACATCGTTGTTGTGTTTCCTCAATTGTTGCTCATTGTTTCATCACTCAATCATGAATCATAATCTTGTAACAAATTTTCACCAAAGACTTTGTTGAGAATGTGAATGTTCATCTTCAAGCGTTTCTAACTTTCTTTTGATTTTGAGTCAATATTATGTTTCATTGACGAATTAAATTGTTGATTTCTCACAGGTACTAGACAATCTTCCTCATGATCTTATTTACTCAGAAAATCAGGTTTCCTCATGGATGGAAGTATGGGTAGAAAAGCAACTTGACAGGTATGCGTTATTATTCATGCCTGCCTTCATTTAGTTCTTGCTACATTGTCCTAAAAGAGGAGATCGCTTGTTAGACTATTGGTTCATTTGTTTCATCTGTATGTGATATGGTTAAATACTTCAAGAAACAAGGGTGTTCTGTTAACAAGTTCAACTTTATTTACCGGCCCATAGTCATTTTCTGCCCACCAGCATCGTTGGGCCTCATCCAAAAGGGGAAAAAAAAACATGTTCTCAGATTTTGGCCATGGTTGAAGAAGCTTTCTTCCGGGCTCCATTTTTAAAACTGTAGTCATCAACAGGCACTGTGTATATAAGAAGCTTCTCTGTGATATGTTGCCTAGCAAGATGTTTGGCTTATTTTTACTTGTGACGATTTTTTCGAGTTGTTGCCGATCCTGCTTCTCTATGGCTGCAGGGAATCACTTGTGGAATTATATAAACCATTGCAAGACCCTCTTATTAAGCGATGTGTAGAGATTGTGAATTTCAATGAAAATGACCAGGCCAAAAGCAGTTTACTATCAAAAGCAAAAGGCATTTGGTCTAGAGCGTTTCCAAAACCCAGAAAATGTTGGCTACCAACTGGTTGCTTGGTGAGAAACCACTTCATTTATCCTGTCCCCTTCCCTCTCCCGAGATTTCACCAACTCTAGTGTTGTACTGGTTGTGCAGAATCTACTCGAAGTGTTGCATCGTGTGCTACCAAAGATGTCATTAATTGCTTCGGATTTTAGTTACTTACCTGATGTGAGGATAGCTGGTGAAAGAGCACCATTAGTTTCAACCAAGGTATGTTCTTTCTTCTAGTTGACGAGGATTGAGAATCCTGCTACTCGGTATCTTCTGGATGATAGATTTGTATTAAAATCAGATAACAGTACATAAAACGAACATTATTTTTTGTCCGAGAATGAGTACGTAAAATGGTTGTAGTTTCAATTGTTTACGTTGTAATGTGCGGTGTGCAGGCACACGGAAGCAGCTCAGACTATGAAAGCTATCTGGATGCAAAGGTACGCAAGCCTGGAGTCCAGAAACTTAAAACTAGATTCAAATTTCTATCTTTCCCTTATCATTAGAATCCTCTTATTGTATAACTTGAAGAGGTTTTGAAGTGAGGCACCGGCTGTTGCCTTTTCATTTTCTAGTGAGTGTTGCTATTTCCACCTTGAAAAAGTACTAAAATGGTCGATCTGCAGGGTGATGCTGACATCTTTTTCCCCACAGACTTCCTATTATTGGAACAGATTGATCATTATTGTTCTGGATGGCTGAAATTACATGGAGATAAGCCAAAGACAGGGAAAAAGAGGCGAACAATAATTGTAAGTTGCACACTCTCTGACATGCCGCTTGATTCTTGTAAACTGGCGCACTCTGATGCTGAGGGATAGATAGCATCAGATTCTAAACGAAGATTAAGATAAATAATTTTTGTTTCCAATTTCTTCCTAATTTGAACTGAATTACTAAGTTAGGTATCATTATAATGTAAGAATTATGTTGACTATTATTGCATGATTGAGTTTGATTTCACTGTCAATTTCCTCTTTTGGCAATGCTGAAGTTTTGTTTGCCCCCATCCCCATTTTGGTGCCAGCTTGACACATCGTCGTTCATGGAAGAGTTCGGATTGCCATCAAAGACGAGATTGAAGGATGGATACAATCCCCTTCTAGATGACTTCAAGAACACGAAATTTTATCTGAGTGTTCCAACACACAACATCAAGTAGGCAGCAGGGAGGGAGCTTCCAACAATTGTGAGCTGAAAATTTTGAATTCTTTCTTTGTTTCCATCGTGTATTGTGTGCATTAGAAATCCGAACACAATTTCTTTAGAGGTAGAACAGATTCAGAATAGATGGTTGGGACTGGATGAGATGATCATTGAGTCGCCTGCGAAGGTAAATGGTTACAGTGGCAGTTTCCTATCGACAGCATCGTTGTGGTAATGATCGAAATGCCGGAGAAATCATTCCCAGGACGCATGGAAGAGGTCATAACATCTGTACGAAAATATTGTTCTTTTGATTTACGGAAACTGATTATGGGAAAATAAAGGGCAATGACTGCGGCCGTCGTTGACCTACTTTCTTACCCTGACCTCTAAATTCAGTTCTTTTATGCCGTTTATGCAATGACTTGTATTGATTTTTAAATAATGGGGAAAGACAATACATTATTTGAATCTATTTAACTTCTTGGTAGATTCTAATTTGAATGATAGATATATGCCTCAATATGCAAAACTCGTAGATTCTCCAAGTTTTCACTAAAAATTCTGGCATCATATAAATAAATGAAAATTCTCCTTAATCTTTCTAGATTCATTTTTTAATTCATCTCAACTTAATAAATACATTATCTATTAATCTCAATAGATTAATATAAGGGATATTTGTAACCAGATCATTATTGTAATTAATTTCCCAAGGTAACTTGGTTTCAATTTCAATAATTTTTAGAAACCATCGAAATTTCATGCTTATAGACCTGAACATTCAGATTTTGCTCCAAATATAGCTTATTTTCAGTGGACGAAATCTATTGCAGTAAGTAGAATAAGGAATAGCAAGTGATTCCCCAAAATTTAACTAATTTCAAAATCCGAAGAAAAAGGAAAGGAAAAAATGGCGACCAACATCATCAATAGACAACAAAATGGTACTAGAAAAGAAAATGCAAAATCAACTGCAACTCCATTCTCCCATAACATTAGGCATTCTCAACTAAACACAACCTTGCAACAAACTAGTATTTAATTGGGGCTATTACTTGCAACTGGGGACCAAGCTTCTCGTCTGCGACCTTCTCGGCTTTGACCCTCAACTTAGTCAACTGCTTCTTCTTCTCGTATGCTGCTTGAGCCCTCTCCTTCCTCTTCCTTTCAAGTTCCTGAGGGAACGAAAAAAGAAATCAGGTTATCCGACATAGAATGGTTTAAAATAGGCAAAAGCATCATCTATTCACTTCATCAACATGAAAAATCAATGGAACATGACCAATTGCGATAGTTGGAAATGGGGGAGGTTTGAAGAAAACGGAAAATTTTCTATTACTACAATAGTACATTTCCATTCAAACATTTAACAGGTCATTAGATGATAGATTACTATACTTAATGGACCCCATATCATTCATAAATCCTACTTCAATGACAAAGATGAATGAAGGAATTTTTCCAATGATAAATCAGGTAAGATTGGGGGCATGAAAAAAATCGTAAAATGTTGATTTGATAGGTTGGAAAATAGAATATAGAAACAATATGGAATGGTATGGATTCATCAATCTTAATCCGTACCTTGATAGTGTCATAGTGATTCCATCCCACTTCTGATGAGAGTCTGCCTAACAAGCAGTATTTGTGTCCAGCTTGAAGTCTCAAAACCCTAATATCCAATATAGAGACACGTCAATACAGAAAGCCAGTACATAGAAGGGTTTACTTGCATTGTTTCATTTATTACTTCTGCATCTAAAAATTTGAATTCATAGCTAAGATTACTAAGTAAACAAACGGAATTCATAATTGCCAACTGGCACCATAAAAGAGATCATCCTCAAACTCACTTGAGAGCGTCGGGGATGACCATCCTCTTCATCTTATCATAGGGAGGAGGAACACCTTCATATGCCTTCAAACGAGCAAGAGCTGCAGCTCCACGCTTTGTCTTGTGTGGGATCATCCTAAGAAACACACAAACAGTAAACATATAAGCTACCAACCTATCTAGCACATACATTTTGGGCTGAAAACAGATAAAGGACGAATCCAAACCCCTAACCTAAAGCAAAGAAGTTAAAGTCACTAGTTCCCTCGAGGAAATGGAAATATGGCATATGAGTTAACAGTTTGTATATGGCATCCATAAGCCTAACAGTTTGCCAACCAAACATTAGTAAGCCACAAATACAAAGACAATCGCTCTACATCATAATACAGCCTCACTAACAATTTTGTTCCTAACCTACCCAGGTATAAACTAAACAAATAACTCAAATACCACTAAGAAAACATAAATGTATGTTCCTGCTCTCATGACCGATTCCATACCTAAATAAATCATAGTAAATCACATTCAAGCAATACAAAGACAATTGAACACACATTTTCATCTCAATCTAACCAAGAACAAACAGGAAAAAACAATGCGACAACAGACATTACCCACGGATTGTTCGCCATATGATCTTGGCAGGAGCACGGAAGTGAATAGGGCCATGAGAGGGCTTGGTATTCATACGCTTCCTCAAGAACCTCATGTACTTCATCTTCTGGCGAACCAATCCTCCAGAGATGCAAATTTCTTCACATCGGACGAGGACCACCTTCTGGCCATTGAGAAGCTCCTTGGCCACAATCGAAGCCAGCCTCCCGAGCATGTGGTGCCTTGCGTCGATGACGACGCGCTTCGCGCAGATTCCAGAACCCGACACCATGTTTGGTTCAGCGGCTACTCTCTCAGTCTCTGCGAGCAACTAGGGTTTAGGGAGAAAGACCTGCTTTGAGGAAAAGATTTCGATATGTATATGCGATTTAGATTTGATGGGCTGGGCCTGGCCGAGCTTTTCAAGGCCCATTATCTCATCTTGGGCCTAACATCTTTTTTATTTCTAGTTTCTATTTTTTTTTTAAAAAAAAAACAAACCATAAGGTATTGTCTTTTTTAGGGTTACTAAAATCCTTGTACTTATTCAAACTGTCGGGCAGCATATGATGACCTCGACATTCTCCTGCATTGCTACGACGTATCCATATTATCTGCCTGTCTTCAAATACTTCTAAGTGGGTCCTTTAACACGATTTACCCTCACTCATATACTTTTCGGGAGGTAAGTAAGGACAAAACATGCTGAAATAACTCTCGTTGGTTTGTTGTGATAATCTTCACTATTAAGAAATATTTCAAAATAAGTAGGTAACGTGAACATATCGTCGATGATGCATGAGAGTGTTGGGCCATTAGGTGTCAAATATGGATTCAAAACCTTAGCCTGACCATTGACATGATACATTACAAATGGTATCAGAGTGAACACTCTCCCAGTAAGATATAATTCAAGAAAAAAACCAAAACAAAAGCTGGTGATCGAATCGCGGGTCAGCGGGACAATGATTGTTCTAACCCTGTAAATGAATCAGCCATATAAAACTCATAAGTCGTGGACAATTCGAACATATGATCGAACACGAGTCACGTTTGAGAAAAGGTGTCTTAGAAAACGTGAGCAAGAAAATGCGTTACAACTTTGATACAATATAACCCGAGTAGGAGATGTGACTATATATATATATATTATGATGAACTTTAAGCTTTCTATTCCATTTTGAAGAGAGTTGTGTGTGTCTCAAATATATGTAAGTGGCAAACTTTAAGAGCTTATTGGTTTTGTGTATGCGATGCCAAATTTGTACAATCAACCAATTGAATTGTCACTCTTGACTCTTCATACCCAAATAAATAAATAAAATATTGTATTATTATTTAAAAATAAATAAATAAATTAGAGCTATTTTAAATTTTATAAGTTTTAACGAGGGAAATTAAAATTTTAAAATTTTATTTTTCATTTAATTTAATTTAATTTTAATAATAAAAAAGCAAATTGGAAAACGTAATTTGCAGTCCCCACATGCATTTTGGATCACAGCCTGCAACATAGTCTTTAGGTTCAGATCCAATCGGAAAAAATGCTTCAAGACTTTCCCTCACGGAGGACCCGCCGCCCCCACCGGCGGCCCCACCGCCCATCGCCACCGCCAAAGAAAGGGGAAACCACCAAAAAGTACTTTTAATTTTTCTGACAGGTCAACGACTTCAGGACAAATTACAATTACAAGGGGGCATGGCGTTGACTTTCAAACCATCCAATGCCAACCTGCAATGTCAACTTCTATTATTTTCTTTCCACACATTCCCAAAAAATATAATAACAATAAAATAAATTAGAGAATAATCATTTTTCGTTCTTTCTTGTGGTTTTTGGCTCTATAATTTGTTAAAATTAGTTTCGAATTTATAAAGTTTGAGCCACGTAAATTAAGATTTTGTCCATGATCTGCATGGAACTAGCTGGTTTCACACTCGAGAACAAACTATGGAGCCACGACCTCAACGATTCAAACGATACCGATATATCCTATATATAATACGTTTTATTTTAAATTTTACAGTGGTGTAACATCGTCGATTTGTAGGTTTTTAGAGAAGTAAGTGATTCGTGCTAAAAAAAAAATATATTATATAGGTTGACATTTTAGTCCTTTCAGAGACATCAATTTATTATAAAAAAAATTAAATTCTCACACTACTGTGATATTGTAAAATTTCCCGACAAAATGTAAATATTCCAATATAAACTCAAGTGAAATTACCAAAAATAAAATATTTTTATAATTTTTCTATTGTATTATTGAAGGAAAGGGAGAGAAAGAGAAAGATAGTTGACTAGTTGTAGACCATTTGACTAAGAAGTCTCGTAAGGTTTGACTTTGGAACATGTATATTTGCAATGTCTGTATCTATAGCCGTATTAATTCAACCAAAGTCAATATGTATTTAATTTTCTTTTTGTTTTTTACTAAACAGACAAATTGTTTTTGGTCTATTCAATAATAATCCATTTTTTTAGATACAATAATCCAAATTATATATATATATATACACACACACTCTTCCACAAATTTAACAATTTCCAATAATTATTTTTTTAAATTATAAATTTATATTTTATACCATTTTATTTATATATATTAAATATGATCGTAATTTCTAATGCTATTTTTAAAATTTTATTATTTATGTATACAAATTAAATTTAAAGTCTAATGGAGAAAATAAATTATTTCAAGATTTAGAAGCTTTTATTTACCATTTTTATATTTTCCATTTTTGCGACCCTTAAGTAAAATTGGTACATAAATAAATCGAAAATCTCCTTAATATTTTAATTCCTAAAAAACATTAAAATAAAATTAAAGAATTGATAAAGTCAGAGAAATGGAGAAATATAAATTATATATATTTTTTATTTTGTTTAAAACAATAAAACAAGAGGAGAAAAAGCAGAAAAATAAATAATTAATGATACAAATATTTTGATGAGATATTTATGGGTTTAATTTATTGCATCACATGCCGGTGTTCGCATGAATAAAACCGAAGATCTGCTGAACCGAGCTCGCTATATCCTCTGCTGTGAATCTTGACTCGCTTGCTATCTGCCAATCATACTCAAAATAAATCCAATAATAATTATAAAATTCACCCTATTATTCTAATTGCAATAAATTATTTTATTTTTACCATTTGTTTTTGGAAATTGATTAAAAATTTGAAAATTTATTTAAAAAATGCGAAAATACTAGTAAAGAAATTAATTCCACATGAAGAAAAACTTTTTTTTTTTTAATAGAAAGTGGATAATAACACAAATAATTTTTATAGGTTAAAGTATTATTTTTAATTTTTAAAAATTAAATAATTATTGAACCGAGCTTAATTATTATTAATAATGAATCAACTGGAATATATTATTGTTAATAAAAAATTATTTTTTAAAAAAAATCCCAAATTAAAAGTTCTGAAATGAATTTTAAAAAATAAAAATAAAAATAAAAATTGACTAACCTTGACGTTGAAGGAATAAAGAACAGTCTGTTCAATGGTGGTAATATTTGTATGAAGAATATTGAGCTGAAGATCTTCGAGGGCGGCGATGGCTTTAATCAGCTGTCCCGGTCGTCTTCTCGACAGGATCTTTATCATTGCGTCGAACCCTAAAACCTTCACTTCCACGTCAGCTAAGCACGATTTGCTCTCCGCCGTCGTTTCCAATATTTGCCCCTCGTTTTGGTGACCACCGAAATTCCCTGCTCCCGGCGGCAGAAATGGCGGTTGCTGCGGCGGAGGTGTGTCGCCTGCCTGCAGTGGTGGCTCTCCTAGAAGACGACGTCGTTTTTGCGATTCTAGACACTGGAGAAGCTGCTCCAGCTCCCTCACGAACTCGATTGCTCCGCCGATTATGGAGGCTTGATCTCCCTGCAGCGTGTAAATTTAATTTATATTTAAACTATAAAATATTCTAATAAATCTAATAATATTTTATCCAAAAAAAAAAAAACTCTCCCATGTTCACAAAATCTCTCCGCCATCTCTATTACAATCTCTCCGCCCATCTCTATTACAATCTCTCCGCCATCTCTATTATAATCTCTCCGCCGTGAAATTAGAAAAAAGAGAGAAAAAACGTACCCTTTGAACGTAAGAACCAGGCATGAGAGAGCGCAAAACGCGGAGATGTTCATTCATCTGCTTCCTTCGATTTCTCTCCACCGCAATATGCGTCATTCTTTGGCTCTCCACCTCTTCGCTTGTCTTCACCGTCCTTCCTCTTTTCCTTTTATTACTATTACCATTATTATTATTATTATTATTATTATTATTACCATTTTTATCGTTCCTAAAATTCTCCTCTTCTTCTAACTCCCCTACAATTCTGCCTCCCATCTCCGCCGCTTCCTCCTCTCCGGCCGCCGCCTCCTCCGCCCTCTCGTTATTCAGAACCGGGAACTTCAAGAAGTAGACTGGGTCAATCCCGGCTGGTTCATCATCCTCGTCGAACCGGTTGAGGCTGAGCTTCGGACCGAAGTCGGCGAACTGCATAACCTCAGCGAAGCTGAGCTTGTCCGGTGAAGTTACGGATTGCAGCGGTGGAGGAGGTAGAGGGTTGGCCGGAAAGTAGGTGAGGATTCCGGTGGCGTTGTCGGCGGAGGTTTCGAAGGGGCGTGACCTCATGAATTGGTCTTGGTTGTTATAGAGATCGTGTTGGTGGTGGTGGTGGCTGGAGAAGCTTGGCGGCATAGGAGCTTCGTTCTGTGGAAAAATATAGTGTTGAAATTAAAAATTGTGGAATTTAGAGAAAATAAATAAATAAGGAAAAAATAATTGATATTTTAATTATTGTTTATTACGTGGGACCTCCAACTATATATATAATACAAAAATATGTTACACAATAAGGTACCAAATTATATTAATTACTAAAAAAACCATTTTTTGAAACTCTAATTATAAAATAGTTTTTAAATTAATTCAAGATTTTGGCATGCCTTCTAAAGTGATTATGAAGGATATATAAGATTTTGAAATAAAATTAATTTAAAATAATTAAGTGGATATTACAAATGATTTTTTTTAACTATTTTAATTTCATAAAAATCTTAAATACATGTAATTAATTTTTTTTATAATCAGAAGGGGAAAAAATTAAAAAAATATAATAAATTATTTCAATTCCGAGTCTCAAAATATTCATTTTGGTACTTACCCAAAACGTTATTTTTGGATGAGTATTTAGAATAATTAAAAACGAATATTTTGAAAATATAAAATCAAAGTCGGTGGTGTTAGACAAACACGACTTTCCACAATAGTATGATGATATTATCCACTTTGAATATAAACTCTCCTGGCTTTGCTTTGGGCTTCCTCAAAA